AAACCTTCCTTTGGCCATTTTTGACCAATAGCATTTCCTGGCTAATTAGGTGATTTCCATCTTTACCATTGAAGATACTTTATTTACATTAAATTTGACTTCAATCAAATATGTAATTCAATAATTCAGATTATTAAGTTATAAATAATCAATTAAAACACTTTTAAATAGGCATGTCTTCTAAGGCAACAATAATTAAGGCTAATGTCTAACATTTTGGGGGTAATTTTTATCCTTTTTTTTATCCTATTGCACTGAGCCAAACCCCTCTCGAGTACCAACCTACTGGCCCCTGCATCGTCGACAGCCAGAGTGGATACACTCCAAGGCCAAATGAATCATCGACAGACACAGGTTTTGGTTGGCTCTGATCCGTGGGGGAACACTATAATTTCTTCTTCTCCAACTTAATTTCAGCAGTTGGAGTGTGATCTTTTTCTGACACGTTAGTACAGGCACCATTTCCTCTGGAGTTGTTGAGGTGCCATGAAGTTTGAAAGCAGGCTTGACATGCAACCACCATGAAATCTCGTTTCTCCTGATGTTTCTGCGCTTGTTGTGTAACGTTTTTTTTTATTGGTTGTTAGAGACAGCCAGAGGTAAAAATCAGATTTTTTGTTTAAAACTAGAACATTGGAGAACTTGAATACTGAGGCAAAGCTGAATAAAGCACTCATGTTTGTCCCAACTAAAAATGACTACATGGGAAAGATGTGGCAGGAGTTTTGTGACAGAATGGGCTTCACAATCCCACAAGTGTTTCATCTGAATCTGTCTGGTGCCTGAGGCACTGTTGGGAACCAAACCGCAGTTGTTGTTGTTCATGTTGCATTGTGCATTTGATTCCAAATCTGAAATAAGTGACTAACCGATAAGGATCTTTCACCCAAACAACTGTGTAAATGCTAAAATAGACAAAACCATTTCCCAGAAAAGTTTGTACATTATTAAAATAATATAAAGGAAAATTTCATAATAAATAAAGTTAACTTCATCTTAAATTCAGAGATCTAAGTTTTAGTGCATTTTTAAACCAGATTCTTTGGAACTGAGGTTTCCAACTCTTGACAAACATAGATCCAT